ATTGAAATGTGCAGAACTTGGAGCGACAAAAGAGAGGTGATAACATTTCACAGCAAAAGCCAGTTCTTATGGATAAATCGGGAGATAGAGAAGTGTAAAGAGGAAAAACAGGAAGTGGTTGAGGAAGAAAATGAGATTTTGGTTGAACGGTTGACTGGTACAAGTACAACATTGACTGGTACAAGCTGGTGAAAATGAGAAAATATCTACCATACTAGATACTGAGAAGGGGAAATTATAAGCGATAAAATTATCAATCTTGCCTTGTACTGTTCTGCAATTGACTCAGTATAGATTGGTAGTCGTTTATAAGGATTAACTACGACACAGAAGAGACCAGAATATGTCTGAAACGAGGTGGTGGTAGCATTGCAAATTAAACTCATAACGGAGACTTACGTAAATAAGACTGGAGAAATATCGTTGCTTCAAATTGTACAAGACTGAGGCTTCGTTCAGACATGACATACTAGACATATCCTCGCATTTGTCGAATCTTGGTGGATTTACTTTTTGGTAATCATCGCGGCTCACTCGTTGTCTTTCGTGAGATTCCAGCAACTCCACTTCGACGTATCCTAAAAGGGCAGCAGGAGAAGATGGCACTTCGCCAAGAGAAGGACCACTGCATGATAGAATTTACCTTCGTTATCTGGTTCTTTGAGTATGAAAGACAATGCAAATCCATCCTTTTCATGAGGAACCCAGACCAAAGTCCTGCCATTGGCTTCTGCTGCCCTCATTCGGTTGCTCAGCTCGTTCTGGCTAACCTAAAACCAAGCTTCTAGCATGAAACAATGGGTATAGCCCGACCTTCAAAATGTCGAGATCGGTTCCTTTTCGTGTCACATTTGCAGCCATTGCAGGGATACGAGACCTGTAACGACCGGCAATTAGCAATGAGGCTGCTGCAGTGAGAAAGCGACCTCCCACGAAGATCAATGTGCATAAATGAGAGATTCATAGGAAAAACCACTTCTTATATAGCACTGCTGTTTATGGAAGAGATTGATAAGCTCGATGCTAGCCAGCAAGCGATGAGGGTGGTCAGGCACGGGTCCGATTCAGCGATTACGTCGACCCATTTCGAATCGCCGCTGTTCGCGCCAATTTTGCATGACTCAACACGGCCGGGGCGACTTTCCTCGCGCAGCCGCCGCTTTTTGCCCGCGCCCATTCGATCTCAATGTCATCTCGCGTGCACTTCGCCGGACAAATTCCAAATGCGAACAATCCCTCCTTTTTTGTCCACCTGGCAAGGTGCACATTCTGTTCTGCTTGAAGCTCTAAAATTCTGAGTTCCCAAGCACTGAAAGTAAAAACTTCCTGCGGTTGAAATGGTTGTCAAGGAGCGTGTGGGCAAATGCATTTAGAATGCTAGTTACAAACTGCTTTGCTTGATCTTGCTGCCTATTGTTTGAGCACTACAAAGGCACATTGATCCCAATCCGCTTCCAGCTGTTCCAGTGTTGGGCAAAAAAGTAGATATTAGGTTAGCGCAAAAGTAAAAGGTTATGTTCCTTACTTCCGAACAACTAACTTGCCAAAGTTATGGCGCAACAGAGAACTAGCAGTTGGAGCAATCTATAGGTTATCAGAGCTCTTGCTCTTCCCACAAAAAATTT